AAATATTTCTCAGTACTTCCAAATCCTATTACTTTTGATCTATTAATAGTAGGAAATGCATGATAAGGGAGAAGAAAAATTGAGCAATTATTTAACCGATTTGTAGGAAAAGGAACAATATTTTTATTACTTCTAACGAAGAATTTAAGATACTAAAGAGCTGAACAGAAGATTGCAAAAGCAGGTCGGAATGACAAAGCAAAATATTACAGTGAAATGTGCGATGAGCTAGAATTGGAAATCAAAGGGCTGAACTCGTTCAGCATTTCTTAAGCTAAAGGAACTGAAGAACAAATTCAAATCTAGAGTTGCTATAATCAAGGATGCTTTAGGCAGAATATTAAATGATACAGGAAGTATTAAAAGAATATGGAAGGAATATACTGAGTCATTGTATCAAAAGGAATTGGCAGATACAGAAGAATTCAATGAAATAACGTGTGAGCAAGAGCCTATGGTGATGAAGGAAGAAGTTCAAGAACAGCTAAGATTTTGTTAATGAAATTTTAGTAAGAAAAAGTAGTGAGGGCCAAAACAACGGTAATAGTCATTTAAACAATCCCCTACCCTACGCCATTGCTTAGAATCAATAGTTCCTTCTTGTGGAAACCATGGGCAAACATCTTCTAAAAACAAGAAAAATTTCTTTATATCTTTTTTAGTTACCCTTATACCTCTTGCCTTGAGGGAATCCTTGATCCCCTTTTCGAACAATTCATGTTCACTTAATCCCTGTCCCATAATTTTGCTGCCCTTAACTCCTCTCGTGCCTCTCTCACAGGGCGAGAAATCCCGTGCCTGTCTCACAGGGCGAATAGTCCTGCAGCTGGCAACAATGCAAGTCTTCACTCGCGGTCCCTGACTCACGGAGACTCAATGGATGGACCTGCCGGCCATTTCTAGCGGGCAGCGTTCATCGTCCTTCCTCGTTCCTGGGGCCCCACATTGGGCGCCAATTATGCCCCAACCCGTGGGGACATTCAACGGTGACCCTAGGAGGGGAAGCAAGAGAATGGGGGGCACAGGAGGCAAAGAGACATGGAGACAAGTAGAAATTTCCGATCAAGTCTCGACTTTATTGAAAGCATACAGAGATATATAGGAGCACGAATGAGGGGAGCGGAAAGGGGAAGTAAGGTTACTTAGCAGGGCGTTCCCAGTAAGCCAAAACCTGTCCTCCCAGGGTGGGGTAAACTGAAACCTATCCTTCCAGGGTGGGGTAAACTGAAAGACAATGGTGGGAGTGGAAAGGAGAATTAAGGTTGGGCATTCCCAGTAGACTGAAACCTGTCCTCCCAGGGTGGTGGGGCAACATGTCCAGACATGTCCTTAGAGAATTACAAAATGGCTTCCAACAATCCATACAGAAAGCCTTTTATCTTTTGCAGCAAGTGTTTCAAATTCTCCTCACTTTCAGCAAGCAAGATTCTATCACTCTGATCCTCATGCCATTTTCCTCTTCATAGAGTACAGCTTCACGAATTATTGTGCTCAGCACACAGACTGAATAGGTATAAAGGATACATCCCTGAGGTACACTTCCGATTTTAAACCATTCAGTGTTCCCTTGCTTCTTTCAGACAACAGCTTCTTTATTAGGTATAGATTTTGAATGAGCACAATTAAATGTTCTGGGGACATTAAGTACCTTAGTACTAATGTACCGAATTTGCCTGTAGTCAAGATAGTAATGCGTCTAATAGTGGTGCATCCAGCAACTTTTCTACGTTCAAAAAGAAACACCTAGACCTACATATGGGAAAGACATGGCCTAGCTAAGATCCAGGGGAATTTAGGTAGAAGCAGCTTTTGAACACAGTAAGTGGGTTAAACTCTCGAAGGTGTGTCCGCTGAAGATTGTTGAGACTGCAGCGCTCATGGGCCTACACAAGGTCGTGCGTAAGTCTCTTCAGCTCCACCTGGAAGGCAGACTTAGCTACAGAAGGACTACACCCCTGCTTATCTTTAGATAAGAAGGCAAGCTCTATTATAAAGGGCTAGATATATATATCTCCATGTGACACACTAACAGTATCTCTACAGGAAAGAGCGAATGAGGGCGGAATTCATCCAGGAAGGAAACCCACCGGATTCCCTTGGCGTGTGCGTTTTGGAAGATAGACACTCTTTTCCTCGAGCTACCCCTTGACGTCCAGGCACCTCATCCTTCCTGGTTGATCCCACAAGGTAGACTGGATGGGAGGCTCGGGCGCGTCTCCCACCCCACAAGCGCACAGCTAGCAGCGGGTTCCCCAGGCGGCCAAGGACGCGGTGACGCAGGAGGCGATCCGAGGCGGAGGTCCCCGCACTTGGACGTGGGGGGGGCCTGGAGTGGGGAGAGGGAGGTCGCCGACTCCGCCACGGACCAATCAGGAGGCGTGATGTTTCGGGGAGAGGCCGGGCGGGGGGAGCCGGCCGATTTCCTCCAGTCCCTGCGCGGCGTCGGCCGCAGAGTTGCCATCGCGCGCGCCAGGCTAGGGGTTCAGGCGGAGTTCCTCCGTGGCTGCCCCTTCGCCAGGCCCGCCCCCTCCGGGGCCCCGACGCGGCTCGCCCTGCGCCGGCTCCTCCTCTCACCGCAGCGCGCATCGCCGGGCGGCTCCACGCCTGGTGTCCGGGGGCTTCCGCGGGCGGCGCCGGCGGGG